TTTATTCTGTTCTTTTCATTGTTTCTCTGTTGTATGTTCTACCTTGTTTTGATATATACACAATGTAATAATGTGAGAGTTATGGCACCCCACGCATACTAAAAATTGGCCAGTAGGGCCAACCACCTCACACCTCTCCCCTCCAGCCTTTTCACTAGAGCCCAACTGCGAGACAGAACACACAATGACCCAGAGACGTAAAACTAACGTAGCCATCGGCCATCAGTCCAGTTCTCACTAATCGAGTGGCACAAGCCACAATTGGACTGAAGGCATAAGCATTGCAAATGCCTCCTTGTATTTCTTAAACTCTATGTTTACATCTAATCTTAGTTTTCACAGCTCCCGGCTACTCGAATAGCGAACGCACTCGCGCAAAGGCAACAGTCTTTAATGGGCGCTTAAACGCCGCACTCTCTGATAGCCTGTGGTTGCTAGGTTAAATTTGCCTACAATTCCTACTCTATGTATCCACAAAAACCCCAGTTCATTGGCGCACTCACTTTGCTTGACAACTCTGTCTAATACCGTGTCTTAATCTATATGTCATTATGTACATTACAATCTTAGTTCTCACATGCCAAAGAGTTGAACAAAAATAAAGAATTTTTAAAAAAAAGTGTAACAAAAGGATTTTTTTCCATTAAATCATAAAACGTATTAAAGAGAATCTCAACACTGCCCTATGAGGTTTTCTTTTAGGTTTTTATAAATGTAAATGCTTTTGTTACACGTTTAACAATTTTAACAATTTTTCCACTTATACGGTTAAACTTGCCCAGTGTATATATTATAGTTCTCTATTAAAATAGTTTTCAAATATATAAATCTAGAAAAAAATGCTTATAATCACTAACTGACTCTGACCATGTATAATTTGAAAAAGCTTTATATATATTATGGGTGTATATTTTTACATTTACACATGGCAATACTGTCACATAGGGGTTGAGTCAAAACCTCCTACCCACCACCTAAGTTTTTTGCTATTATTTTAGCACAACCTGTGGTTCGAAATGCTGTTAAACGGTGCTTAAGGGCTTAGCTAAAAGATTTGTTTTTAAGTGGTTGGCATAAACAAGAGAGGAATACAACAGTAAGAGAATTAGACGTGAAGCTAATAATAGTAATTTGAGTTTTATATGTAGCACAACCTTATGTACTTCATTTAAATATACACTCTCCACACCATGTCTTTATCATGTCGACAGCTTGTTCAGGAGAAACTACCTCTTTATCAAAGGTTACAGCATCAAAAGGAAGTCTTGTGATTCTAAACTGCTCAATTGGAGAAGCAGAATTGAAGAATTATTACTCACGCTGGGATTTCTATCCTAATGCTGGTGACTCTCTTAACCCAACTTGGAGCGTAACTCAGCAATATAATCCAGGAGAAAACACATATAATGTCCACAAAAAATATCCCCCTTCATCACTGGTGATTAAAGACGCTCAGATAAATCATACTGGATATTATACATGTAATATCACTAACGTTTTACCACCTCCAATTAAATCGTTTCTAGGAACAAAGATTCATCTCACTGTCCAAGGTAAGAATCTTACAGATTTTATGTTGTTCTTGCAGTTTAAACACTAGATTTATTATTCAACAAGTAAGGCTGTTTGTTACTAAGAAAGTATGTTACTATCCAAGTCTAATATTTATTATCTACATCTAAGATAGATAGATAGATAGATAGATAGACAGACAGATAGATAGATAGATAGATAGATAGATAGATAGATAGATAGAGGTACAATGTGTGTGTGAGGGATTTAATGTGTGTGCACACTCGACAGGCATTTCACCCACTATGCCAGGATCATCAGAAAAGCCAAAACACATTATTATTATTATACTGTGGAGAACAGTGTTTACTGTCCTTTTTGAGGCCATGGGACTTTATCAGTACCTACCAGAAAAATAGGTTAACATTGATTTACTTTTTTTTTCTATAGTTTTTATTTCAACTGAGTTTAACTGTCCATTTCCCCTGTCTGATTTAATTACTTATATTTCTCTACTTTGTGGTAAACCAACTATCTTGAGCTATATGGCTGGCAAAAAAGTAGGGATATGTATAATTTCCTCTCTGCAATTAAGGATGATTCGGGAACAGCCATGATAGCACTGCAGGACTCAATTTAGTTGGTGTACATGTTCACTGAGTGCATCCACATTTCTTTAGTTTGGTAAATATTTTATTTTACTTTTTTCTTTTCTTCTTCCTTCCTTCTTTTTTTTCTTTGTAATTTTTATCTTTCTTAATGTGGCTTCTGTGTTAGGTGACCAAGTTTTACGTGGTCAGTGCTGTCGAAGTGCCTCTAGTGGCTGTCAACATGACTGCCACTAGAGAAGGATTTAACCATGCAGTGTAATAATTGAGAAAAAATGGCTTTGGTGACTTTAGTAGTCTTTTAAATCGTGAACTGCATAATAGAATAGAATGCGGTTATTAAGGGTTTAAACAGGAATTTTAGTAAATTAAAACTGAATTGAAATTTTAGAACATATATCCAAGGCCCAAGTGCTATGTATACTTGTGATGGATAAAAATGTTAGAACAGATATAGTGATCAAGCTGAAGTTTTCAAATCACTGATTAACAAATAGAATCCCTTACCACTGTCCCATATTGGTCATATTTCTTAATATCTGAAGTCCCATGTTTGAAAATCAGTTTGTTAATTGTAGATCCATGAAACCAAACTGTCATTGTTTCCTGAAGAGATGCTATATTTGTGATTGTTGTCAGTTCAATGTTCAGTGAAAACGCTCCTGTTAAAACTAATGTGAGAATCCCTACAATTTTTGTCAAGTCCCACAGGCATTGGTGATGGCTGTGGGAAAAGATACAATTGCATGGAGTATCCTGCAGTCCTTTGGTATCCTCCATAGTCCTTCATTTTGTAGTTTAGCATACACACAAGAGTAGAGCAGTGACAAGAGCTCCTGGTGGGTGAATTGCTAAGAGATGAAGATACGTCCATTAAGGAAGATGGTGATGTTCATAACCATTTAGCTTCTCTCTCCCAGCCACTGCACTTGAAGCAGACATGGTACCTTTGGGGGTCTTTGCAAAATCTGCAATACCCCATAACGTAGAGAGAAAATTTCATTTCATTCACTTAAGTTTGAATCAAACATGAATATTCAATACAGGGGCTCTAAAGTTGTTGTTTTTTTTCTGTCAACACAGCAGTGTATTCTTAAATGCTTAGAACACTAAGGTGACCAGAAGTGGACCCGCTAACCCTTGTAAACACTAGAAATGCAGTGGACTGTAACTCCTATCATTCTTAACCAAAGCTGGTAACCCCGATACAGGGAGGATCTCATAACCCCAAATTCCTTTTAACATTTACTGAATTCACCCCATAAACCTATTCTCGTGAATCAACCTCATCCTCACCCTAAGTGCTCCCTAATCCTAACTACCCCAAAAACATAAAATCACAATTAATATGGCACCATCATAAATGGAGTGACAATGGCAGTACTTCATTGAATGTAGCATCCTTACCATGTTGCTAAATCAATACTTAAAGTGAATGCAGTCTTTAGGATGACTAAATATATATATTGTTGTTTAGATTTTATTTAATTTGTGAAAGTCTTACAATAAAAACTTTTGAAAATAAAGTATAGCACAATTTCCTATTATAATAGAGTAAACAAAACAAATATGTTTTCATGACATAAATGATTATGGTGTCAGGATCCTATCCTGACAACCAAGATATTGTTTTATTTTATTCTTTTTATTACTTCAATACCTGTTTCTCATCACTTGTGGCCACACTAGCCACTAGACAAACCTCAGTCACTCTCACCTGTATAGCATAATGATTATATCTGCTATAAAAGGTCACATCCGACTAACCCGAACTACCTTTAAATTGATTGTAGTTTGTGTTCTGTTCCTGGCAACACTACTGATCTGGCTCCTACCTGCAAGGAACCTTTTATATCCTGCAATTAATTCAACCAACCTGATTTATAATTTCTACCTGCAATATTCCCAATCTGTTTACCGTCAATAAGCTTGGGGACAAACTGATCTGCAATACCATCCTGCTTAATTCAACACTGGACTTTCACTCATTATTGCTTTGTGGTTACCTACAGTTCTCCTACCTTGGAATTACAAACATTCCTGATAATAATTGCATCTATCCTGAAAGACCTGTAACTGCAGTGCAACCTCTAAACCAAAGGGGCTGAACAACTAAACTTCAAACCTGTATTACTTGTGTTTTACTTGTTATTTGTTTACCTGTACCCTATTATTTCATTAATAGCTTTTCCTTCTCTTGCTTTACCTATCTCTCTCTTATGGGTTTCCCTGTTTCTTTTATATCCTGTTGTAGGGCATATTGCCTAACTCCTGTTTACCCTCTAAATACTTACCTATAATTTATCTTATAGGTTTTCCTATGTCAGGGGATTATTTTATAAACCCTTTATTTCATATCCCTAATTAACTACCTATAATTTCAGTAATTGTCTCTATTACCTATTCTGTCCTGTTTTGGGCATATTTGCTTTTTCCCTCTATTTCGTATCCTCCTTTTTGTTTTCACTTCCTTTAAGTCCGGCTACGCTTTATTTTTCAAGTAAAACATGTCTAAGAATTCAAATAAAGAACCCAAAGCTAATTCCGGTTTAAGTCTCATCTCTGGCCTGATCACAAGCTTGATAATGGGATATGTCAGAACTACTTATAGTGGCTTGGAATGCATAATATAGTTAGAAAAAAAATACAAAATCATTTTGATTTGAAAACAAGCATTGGCTTTATTTTATCATTTCCAGAGAGATTTAACAGGACTGAAATAAACTATGATAATGTGTATATATAAGAATTATTTTATGAATTACTTGTATTGATTGTTTTAAAATCTTGCTTATTACAGCTTCCCCGCACATTGTTATAGCACAAGATGGTGTCACAGTGTCCTGCAAAGTGGTGGGATTCTATCCTGGGCCTGTTCACATCACACTGAACACAACTTGTGGAGTAATGAAGAGCAGTATGGAAAATGCAATAAATGAAACAAACCGTGATGGAACATTTAACGTGACATACAACTATGAGCTGAATATCTCCAGCTGTAACAATGGTACAGAAATAACCTGCAAAGCAAAGCATCAATCTGAGTGGTTCAATGCAACCACTGTACTCCAGGCAGACACTCCTTCTCCAGGGAAAGACAATGGTATGATTTAGTGTAATCAAATAATGAAAGTATTGAGCATGCCCAGATAGAACCTACAGCCTTTTAGTCTTTGAGGTCTAATCACCTTGTTGGAGATCCGTATATATTGCTGTAATATATCACAGAGATGTACACTTTAAAAAGAAAAATAATAATTTTTGCATTGGCACTTTGTTTAATTGTTTGATTTTTGATATGAACCCTTTATTTGCTTTATTCATATTGGTGATTCTGTGTTATATATTTTGTCACAACTATTTACTTATTTTACCAGAGATACACAAATTAACATTTTTATAATTGTTTACTGTTAAAGGATATACTTTAATGTGGGAAGCAGATAATTAAACTGAAATTTGTATATACATTTTTAAATTGAGATTTAAGCTCCTTAATATAACCTATATTGCTCCTCAAGGTGGGCAAAAGCCCTAGCCCTGATGGTCTCACATTTCAGTATTACAAACCAAACAATTTGCCAAAATCCTCTTGCATAGTTTTACATGGGAATTGCCAGGTTTTTGAGGAACTATGCATTGGGACAGATCTTCTGGAACATATGATCTCTTTTCTATACATCACCCTTCAGTGCTAAACTAAATACCCACCCCCAGCTTACTTTGACCAGTGTGAAACTGCTTTATAAACTACTTTCTCAGAACCACAATGGGGGAAAATGTGACATGACATACCACTGCTCCCCCTCCAGCAGAACACTGCATACAAGCTACAATCTATGTGGTACAGAACCCTGCAGATTCTTGGTAGGTTTTAACCCTCACAGGATGGTGGATGTTGGAGATACCAGGATGCACTGGTCATTTATCGTCACATCTTGTAAAATTGCCCACGGATAATTCCATTCTGGAAACGAATGTATGACATTATAAAATGATTCGCAAATCAACCTCAACCATTACAGCCAGCATCATTCCTCATCCACTATCCCTCAACCTGCAAAAACATTAACTATCCATATCCTAAACCCTGCAAACCTCTCATTCCCCTATTGAGGCGCAAGCCTGACACCCTCAATACAGCTCTGGTTCTTCAGGGTGATAGAAGAACTCACTTTCAGTGCTTCAGGACGTTCACATACATACATGACTATCTGGGCAAAATGCACCATGACCACAATGACTGCTAAATTTGAGACACTTCTTCAGGGACTATTGAGTGACCCGTGGGATGATCATGGGACTTCTTTCTTCTTTTATGTCTTTTTTTTTCCTTACCAATTTCCTCTTTATTTTAAACTTCTTCTATCAACACACAATAAGACTTATCCCAATTGGAATATGCTTATACATAGACCACCATCTAAAATATTACAATGTCTAGAGTCTATAGTTGAATCCTCCTATGCTCATGATTTCAAGATGATTGACATCATACTGTCTGTTTTGTATTTATTGAGCTATGATAGTCTTGAATGTGTTAATGCATTATGGATCTATTTTTATGGAGCCTATGTGCTCTATTCTCTCCGTTGTATTTTCTTTTATGTATAATATTTAAAAAAAAACAATAAATATTAACAAAAAAAAGGACAGGTAATTGCTCAGAGCACCGGCTTTGAAGAGTTCTCATTGAGTTACACTGTAATGTCTGATTGGACAGCCACAGAAAGTCCAGCTTGGGAAGAAGGGGAGGGCTTGCAAAAGCAGCAGATAAGAAACTCTCTGAAGCTGTTTTTTAGATACATCCCAAATGAAGAAAAAATGTATAATTAAATGCATGCAAGTTTTCATTTGTGGTATATGTGTGTGTGTGTATACTAAACAGTGATTTTTTTAATTTATTTTTTATTTTGTATTTGGCAACAGAATATCGCTTTGAGCTTGTTGGATAGTTTAGACTCCATAGGCCATAATGTGAACCAATTTTCTAAGCTACTAACTCGTAATGACAACCTTCGAGTCTGATATGAAACAAGCAATATCTTGCAAATGCAGTGACTTCTGTTGTGAGTTTCTTTTTTTAATGTTTTACTATTTTGGATTGTTTTTGCATACTTTTTAAATGCATTATACATAATGCACTATAAAAATAGGTCAATTTTATCCTGTTGTGCCTCTTTAATGTATTTGGTCAGAGTATTTTTTAAATGCAAAGATTGGTTTAAAATCGTCCCATTGGTGATGTACAATTAGAGTTATACATACAGAAAGTTTGGTCACCATTCTGGTTGCAGTAACTGGAATGGAATTTTGTAACACTGGTCTAAAATTGTTTAGAATAATGTGATATTTTCTGTGCTAGTTTAACATGTGGTTGATTATTGGTTTGCCATTTCCTTTTTAATATGATGTATGTACCTTTTTTAATTTTCTGCAATGGGTGTTAAACAACCTATCATCCCTGCACTGGTTAAATAGAAAATGGGTTAATGGACTACTTAATATTGTTTATGTTCAAGTTACGTTATGTTTATGTACAAATTTGCAGTGTGAATATTTTAGATAATTTTCTTTCACTGTTTTTTTTTCTGTTTTTTTTTTTTAATAATGTTTATTCCACTTGGTCTATCATATGAGGGAAATAGGGGAGATGAAAATAACTGTGGACAAAAAAATGAAACACTTTTAGAATAGTGAAGCGCTAAAAAAGGGATTATCTTACTCTTAAATATTGGATGATACATAGGACGGGATGATACATAGGACGTCTAAAAAAGAAGCATATATAGGAATAGTACAGATGGTATGTAACGGAAAACAAAATAACTCGCAAGTAATTAGGGACTACACGTCTCTTCTGTGGGGTACCAGTCATTGAGTCGACCAGGAACTCCTCTGTATTCCAAAGTATTCTAGAGTCACATGTGAGGTCATCAGCTAAACACGCAAACACCCCAACAAATCTACAGAAGAATGGCTCCACAATGAGAACTGATAAAGTCAGACTGAAACCGATTACTTCAAGTTATTGTTGCTAAAGGTGGTTCTACAAGCTACTGAATCATAAGGTGTACTTAGTTTTTATTAAACATGGCTTCTCCATTTTGGCTTTATTTTTGTTAAATAAATGACACAATGTTACATATAGTTACATAGCAGAAAAGAGACTTGTGTCCATCAAGTTCAGCCTTCTGCACATTTGTTTTTGATGTTGATCCAAAAGAAGGAAAAAACCCAGTCTGCTTCAAATTTTGCAACAAACTAGGAATAAATTCCTTCTTGACCCCAAAATAGCAGTCAGACATCTCCTTGGATCAAGCAGCTATTATCCCACTAATTAGAAATTATATCCCTGTATGTTATGTTTTTACAAGTATTTATTCAATTGCTGTTTAAACTTCTGTATGGACTCTGATAAAACCACCTCTTCAGGCAGAGAATTCCACACCCTTATGGTTCTTACTGTAATATGTCATGTGTCGTTGTTCATCTGGGGTTGTATTTACCTAATTTTAAGACCTGCTACGGAACAGATGATTGTTGTTATGTCCAGGTATGTAAAACCATAGAAATCAAAGAGGGTGTACCTTCTTTTTCCGATGACTGTATGTGTTATCTGTGTGTTTTAATATGTGTTTTGTTTGTATCCTTGTGTGTGTGTGTATATATGTGTTTATCAGCGTGTTTGTATGTGTGCCTGTGTATGTTCGGGGCAGTGTATGTGCAATCAAACACAAAATATCCCTACAAACACATTCAAACATAAACTCTACACACAAGTACACCACTGCTTTCAAATGGCAACAGTGCATACAAATACACAAGTGAATTCAATAGCCAACACTAAATTTGAATGTAATCATGTTTTGTATGTTTTAATCTATGTACATATTTGTAACATCAAAAGCTACATAGATATGTGTCTGGCACAGTACAAAACCACAGTTCTGCTATTTGAATTGTTCATATAAATGATGCACACACTTACTTATATAAAACATAAAATTATTTGTTTTATTATGTCTGGACTTTTCTTTAATTTTATTGCTGTTTTGATTTGGATTACAATGCTTTGATATGTGTTTTAGGGTTTCCATGTAATATCATAGCTAACATGTATTTTTCAAATAGGAGATAAGGGGGTTCAGCTGTTAACTTGTTTAAAGTAATAGCGAAAGGGTTGGAAACCAGTTGCTAAATAGTGGTTAGCTACTTTCCTACAGAATTATGAGAGCTGCTACTTAGCGATTGGCTTTAAGAAGCCAGTATCCCCTCGTTACCAATGAAACTTTACTATCACTAAACATATGTTACTAACTTACAGTAGTGACAGGCACTTTAACAAGTAGCAGCTGGTCGGTAAAAAGTTGCATTAACATTGGCAGCAAGTTCTTTTCACACTTTTTTTATTGAAAATGTTTACATATTATATCAATATATGCAGTACTTTGTAATTGATACAAAACATAGTTGTAAATAAATTCACATATCAAATATACTACATATATATATGTATATTAATATATAGATAGATAGATAGATAGATAGATATACACACACAATAATACAATTACATCATTCTGAGATTTCACACCAGCAACTAGCTATGCACTCAAATAACTATTGATTTCAGGATATATAATGTAAGATTAGTTTTTACCCTTTGTTTGTTTATCTTTTTATTTTAATCACAATATAAATTATCTAGTATATTTGTACTAAAAACATTTGTAGTCATTTAACATTCAGTAACATGACATAGCTCATGTATATGAGGGCATCTTGTGGCCAGAATGAAGTACTTCAAGAGTGAATGTTTCATCATGCTTGGAATTGCTGTTGTAACATGCATTTTATGACTTGCAATAGGATTGATTATAATGCACAGGTGCCTTTGCATAGCACACACGGCTGCCAGAACTAATGGGCCCATTGTGGGGTTATGTGAAGCAGCAAGCCCAGGAAGGCTCACTGCCTGAGCCCAAGGGAACCATTGGTCTGCACCTACAAGAATCTCTCCCTTCTGTTCCGCAAAGAGCCACACCAGAGTCTGTAAGGGTCAGAATCCTTGGAAGGTGCAGACAACTAAATCCACCAGCAGACCACCAAGGTCTCAATAGCATTCCTGCACCCCTGGCTAAAGGTAGACATGAGGGGACAAAATTAGTTCATAATTGCTTTACTTTAGTACATAGTCCCACCACAACACACCTTTAAACACTCTACACACAAAATACACACAATACCACAGACAGCTGACATATACACAATCCCACAAACACCCTCACAGACAACACTACAGAAAGCCCACATATACACACACAGCCAGAGGCGGACCCATCAGACAGACCAAATACAAACACAATACCACAAATAACCCACATGCGCAACACCACATATAGCCCCCCACCATATACACAAATATTATAAGCAATTCACTTACAGACACTTAATATCACAGACCATACACAAACACTAAACAATCGAAAAAGCCCTCACACATACATAACAGGCAGGCCACATACATAATACCACAGACGTCCCACACAAACATAATAAAAAACAACTCACATATATGCACTTAACATCAGACAATACACATGCAAAACCCAAGACAGCCCACATTCACACAGAAAACCCTACAAGCAAATCTTCCATACACTCAATACAACAAACAGTGCATACACAGACTGAATACACACTCACACAAATGTAAAGGCCATACACATATAAAACCTCACACAGTATCTGCCGCACCCATAGATAATAGAAGCATAAATTCTCAAAATACACTGTTATTTAAGTACTACAATGTTACATAAAAAAATAAGTCTGGGACCCTAAGGGACTTGAAAGTTTTATCATGGCACAGCACTACCAAAAGGTAATGCAATAATGTAAAGCTAACAGTTAAATGATAGTCCATTCAGTCCTCCCAATTCCTAAGTGTAGGAATGATATAACCCATTGAAATTCCCTTTACTGTTTGGAAGCAGGGGGGTGAGCAGATATTTTCAGCTACGTTACAGGTATTAAATTATTAACCCGTGACTTCTGGCAGAGAAATGTGCTCCTTTACAGGCTGGAAATCATTCCTAGAATATAAGTAAGAGTACTTGAGGCTTTCTGGACTAAATTTCTTTCTGCAAAGTACATTAAAGTAAAAAATGTGTGTACACGATTCTGGTAGTGAAGTGAATTTTGGATGATTATATGTTGTTGTGTTATGAACCATATAATTACTGCAATGGTAAATGTTTGGGTAAAACATAACATAAATGTACTATGCCTTACCCTTTTCATGCAAAAAATATATATTGGGAGCATAAAAGAAAAATGTCAGGGTTTCTTACCAGAAAACATGACCAGCCTTTATATGGGGGACTTGTGCTGTGCTTTCTTTTCTTTCCCTTTTTTTTGGCACATATTTTCAACAATTAGGATATATATGTGTGCCTGTTAAATTAAGAAAAAAAATATTACTACCATTTCTGGCAAAAATTTGCAAAATGGCTGTATGAAAAAAAAAAAGATAATTTTGTAGGGTGGTTTCAGGTATATCACTACAAAACTTAACTTGGTCATAGCAAAGCTCTGACAGCTTTTCACCAATATTTTATGTAATATGTTAAAATGACCTGACAAAAATATATTGTATATCCTCAGAATAAGACCTTTATTAATCAAGAATAATAATTGTTTCAATGCAACCTTGCATTTTTTCTATTAGGTTTAGTCCCTCCTCAACACAAATTCCTGATAGAGATCATAATTGGTGGAGTCCTCATTGCTACAATTTGTCTGTCTGCTTTTCTCTACAAATCAGGTAAGGTAATGGAACTCGATGATTTGTGCATTTGAGTTATAAGGACGTATACAATATAACCCTAAGTGCATTGTTTAGCCATTAGCAATTAAAACATCCGCTCTGGCATGTAGAATCCCCTGGTGAGTGTGCAATAGATCCTCCAAGCTTGGACCAGCTAGTAACTTTTAGGCTGGTCTAGTAGCACATGATTTAAAATGTCAAGCCCTGCTACATAATGTAGATGTACAGACTCATTCAATGTATGATTAATTGGTTTGTGCATATAGATCTATCATGACAAACGTTTGCTAAAATTGATGTGTTCTCCAACCTGAAGTACTAAGTTACCAAATTTAATACTTCAGATTAGAGTTGAGCGAACCCGAACTGAAAAGTACTGGTTCGTACCAAACATTACGTTTTTTGGACACCGGACCTGAACACTGACATATCACTGTATGTTTGGGTTGGAGTTCGGTGTTCAGCGATTTAATGACACCTTTTGAAAGGCTGCAGGGCAGCCAATCAACAAGCGTTTGACTCGTGTGAAGCCATCACAGCCATGCCTACTAATGGCATGGCTGTGATTGACCAGTGCAGCATGTGACCTTTAGAAGCCATCACAGCCATGCCTACTAATGGCATGGCTGTGATTGGCCAGTGCAGCATGTGACCCAGCTAGTAGGGGTATGTCTATTAAACAGTGAGCAGCCTGTGGCTGCTCACTGTTAAAAAAAAAAGAAAATTCCCCCCCTCCTGAGCCCCCACCCGCGATGCACGAGTGGGGTCTTTTAAACTAAAGGGGGGACCTATTGCCCCCTCCGGTCCCCATCCCTGAGTGGTGGGTGGGGGCCATAAATAAGAATTTGGGGGGGACCTACTGTCCTCCCTCCCGGCCCCCACCCCTGCGCAGCGGGTGAGGGCCCTAAATAACAATAAGGGGGGAAACCTGAGCAGTGGGTGGGGGCCATAAATAAAAATTGAGGGGGACCTAATGTCCTCCCCCCCTGCCCCCACCCCTGAGCGGCGGGGTGGGGGCCAGGGGGAGGACATTAGGTCCCCCCCTTATTGTTATTTAGGGCCCCTACCCGCCGTGCAGGGGTGGGGGCCGGGTGGAGGACAGTAGGTCCCCCCCTTATTGTTATTTAGGGCCCCACCCACCACTCAGGTTTTTGTTGTTGTTTTTTTTACAGTGAGCAGCCACTGGCTGCTCACTGTTTACTAGACATGCCCCTACTCGCGGTATAGCGAGTAGGGGTTGAATTTACTAATACTAAGTAATGTGGCTGAAAGATGAATTTATGTCTTTTAGCCTTTTGGTAGATAGCTCCCTAAAACCGTGGGAATTAGGGAGTTATCTACTAAACGGCTGCTTATTTTATGTTATTTTTAAGTGATTTCCCTATCCACATTTGTTTGCAGGGCACTTGTCCTACTCTTTCCCCCCATTTTACTTCCTTTTGCAGCCCTCTAGCCCTTTCCAGGAGTTTTTTAGAGCCATTTTTGTGCCCTAAAGTTTGGGTCCCCATTGACTTCAATTGGGTTCGGGGTCAAGTTCAAGACCAATAACTCAATTATTAATATAAAAGCAGCAAGTAAATGTCTACCCCTGTGTTGCTCTTTGTTTTCTGTAAATAGATTTACTATTTAAACTTTACTCTTACTGCACTGTACAAATGTTTATATTTACCAGTAATCACCAGTCTGATAAAAATAATGTATTATGTCAACAATGTAAGATCTTGTCCTTATGTCAAATCCTGAGATTTGAGAGCAAAACAATGACTCCCATTTCATTACAAAATGTTCCTTTATATGTGATTGTATAACTAGAATACTTGTATATTAATATGATGACATCATTATTTTTCAATAGAGTTCATTCACATTTATACTGAAATAACAACTTGTAATCATATTGTTTATAATGGATTGTTATTTTTGTACTAGGTAACTGCCTAAGTCAGTGCAAAAGGTATGTTGTCATTTTAATATCATGTTAATGGTGTAATTTGTTAAGAAGTCTAAATAATTATAGAATTATCCATATATGTGAAAGACATCACTAGTCTTTCACATATGTAGAGTTCTCTTTTTTAGCATTGTTTGTCTAATTAAAAAATGAGAGCATTTGCTGTGTATCATTGACTAGACAAAACTGTGTATCATAACTGTGTTATCATTCTCTTGAAAATAAAAATTGTCGAATAAAAAAAACAACTTATACATGTTGTATTAAAAGTATATCTGAAAGCATTGCAGTTTATAAGTTATTGAACACTAAAATTAGTGATTGGTGTTTCTCTAATATATTAGTGCACATAGGACAAATATTTCTATTAGTGTACCAGATTAATGTGTTAGGTTTCCTTGAACATTAATCAATGTTTGATGCTAATGTTTGAATTAAACACATGACTTCCCATGACACCAATAAACTCTCCCTGTCACACATTTCTCTTACCTTTCATAATCATGGTTTGTGACTCTGTTCTAGGCATGTGCATGGGGAAAATTTTCGGTTCGGTTCAGCATTGCGAAATTCGGGATTTTCGCAATTCAGGACTTCGGCAGTTCGTCACTTAAAGACTTCGGAATTTCGGCAACTTCGGAACTTCGGCACTTCAGCACTTCGGAACTTCGGAAATAGGCAACTTCGGGACTTCAACACTTCGGCAACTTTGGCACTTCGGCACCTCTGCACTTCGACACTTCGGAATTTCGGCATTTCGGGACTTCGGCACTTCGGGACTTCTATTGCAGCTGCTTAGTAGATAACTCCCTAATTCCCACGGTATTAGGGAGTTATCTACCAAAAGGTTGAAAGACCTAAATTGGTCTTTCAGCCAAATTTACTAATACTAAGTAAAAATTACTTAGTATTAGTAAATTTTGCCCCTACTTGCTATACTGCGAGTAGGGGCATGCCTATTAAACAGTGAGCAGTTTGGAGACCCCTAGTCACCTGGGGGGGAGGGAGCATTTTTTTTAGGGCCCCCACCCGCTGCTCAGGGGTGGGGGCCGGAGGGGAGGACAATAGGTCCCCCCCTTATTAATATTTAGAGCCCCCACCCACCGTTCAGGGGTGGGGGCCAGGGAGGAGGACCTTAGGTCCCCCCCTTATTAGTATTTAGGGCCCCCACCCACCGCTCAGGGGTGGGGGCCGGGGGGAGGACATAAGGTCCCCCCTTATTCTAGTTTAGGGCCCCCACCCACCGCTCAGGGGTGGGGGCCAGGAGGGAGGACATTAGGTCCCCCCCCTTATTCTTGTCTAGGGCCCTGACCCACCACTCAGGGGTGGGGGCCAGGGGGGAGGACATTAGGGCCCCCCTTTTTCTTGTCTAGGGTCCCCACCCACCACTCAGGGGTGGGGGCCAGGGGGGAAGACATTAGGTCCCCCCCCTTATTCTTGTCTAGGGCCCCCACCAGCCGCTCAGGGGTGGGGGCCAGGGGGGAGGACATTAGGTCACCCCCCTTGTTAGTATTTAGGGCCCCCACCCGCCGCTCAGGGAATAGGTGTCCCCCCGTTATTCCAATTTAGGGCCCCCACCCGCAGCTCAGGGGTGGGGGCCAGGGGGGAGGACAATAGGTCCCCCCCATGATATTACTTTAGGGTCCCCACCCGCCGCTCAGGGGTGGCGGCCGGGGGGGCAATAAGTCCCCCCTTTAGTTTAAAAGCCCCCACTCGCACGTCGCGGGTGGGGGCTCGGGAGGGGTGACCCTATTTTTTTTTTAAACAGTGAGCAGCCACAGGCTGCTCACTGTTTAATAGACATGCCCCTAGTCACGGTATAGCGAGTAGGGGCATAATTTACTAATACTAAGTCATCTTTACTTAGTATTAGTAAATTTGTCTGAAAGACCAATTTAGGTCTTTCAGCCTTTTAGTAGATAGCTCCCTAATACCGTGGGAATTAGGGAGTTATCTACTTATTCATTCCTGTCATTCCATTGACAGGCTAAGTAACTTACATTTTATATGAATGTATGGTACTTGATTGTAGTAAGTGTTGCAAATGCTTACAGCTGAATCCTGGCAATGTTGGTATACTTTTTATTTAAAATTGTATACAATGTAACATTCTCCTTCTTTCACTGGGTAAGTATATTAGTACTTAGGCAATACTGTGCTTCGGCACTTCAGAACTTCGGCAACTTCGGAACTTCGGCACTTCAGCACTTCGACACTTCGGAAATTCTGTAATTTCGGAACTTCGGGACCTTGGCAATTCAGCACTTCGGCAATTCGGACATTCGGAAGTACCCAAATGTCCGATTTGCCCGAAATTCGTCCGAATCATATTCGGACCGAAACGAATTGCACATGTCTACTCTGTTCCTTCCTGGTTTTCATGATACCTCTCTCAACAATCTTTATGCAACCTTTTCCTCTTGGAGTATTTACAGATCGGTTATTGGCCACCTTCTGTATTTATGTTATACTACCCCATTAAAGAATCTTGCCATTTTTAAGACTCAGTATTTTGCTTTTCTCAATTCTAGTCATCACGTGTCAATCTCTGATCATATCACAGGCAATACCATCAACCATACCCCATAGACTTACTGAATTTGAATAATTTGTAATCTTGACCTTTCCTTCAATTCCACAAACACACAATCTCAAAATCCTGCAGTTTTCATCTAATAACATAAGTCACAATTGCGCCTACTTTCACCAGATCATTGTTCACTGTTTTCACACGTGCCCACATGAGCCTTATAATATGTAATGATTGCTGTTGTAAAAGCAGTTATAAAAACTATCTGATAAGAAATTAAATGCATCACGTGATGAATGTAAAATATATTATTTACATAACACAAAAACATTACAACTAAAAATCAATATGCAGAGAGTGGCCCCCAGCCAACCACACAGGAATCTCCACCTCAGCCACACTTAATAACTGTAAATAATACATCTCAAGGTCTTGATTATTAACAAGACATTACAGAGGCAAAAACAGAACATATAAACAATACTAAATCATAGAGCATTTTACAGCTAACAACTGGGAAATTTAATTTGAATGTTGGCAATTTTTAATTTCCACTTGAGCATACTTAAAATGGTATCTTATCTTATGTAAGTAATACTTCCATGCTCTGTATAAACATTAGGCAAGGCCAGCCCAAGACACTGAATTTGCCACCTCTGACCAAGGGAACCCTTATTGGCTGGCTCTTTTCAGAAGATTTTTTTTTTCCATTTGCAGTCATGCCAAAAAAGTTGGCTAGCTTAAAGAACATGATTGATGATATTTTGATATTTTGGTCATAGTTTACTTTTTAAGTTAACAAAAAACCACTGCAGCAATCCTGCCACGAACTCGTATGTATAATTACACCTTCGGCCTGTTCCTCATGTCATCTATGCAAAGATGCTTTTTCTCTCACAAGCCCAAATGATTACATGTTCTGCCAACAGGTCCACATACAATGCCAAACCCTCAAATAACCGGTATCACCCTGCTATTTCAGGTGGGATGGGGGATGGTGGGTACGTTGTTTGCAATCATCATGATATGTAAATATATACAAATATTTGTATATACAAATGGCACTTCACAGCTCAATGCCAGGCAATAGTGTTTGGTCTGGCTGACTGAGTCTTTTTGAGTACATAAGAGGGCCCATAATAACTGGGTAGGAGGCTATCGCTCAAATCTCTCCACAGGCCTACCAGTCTTTTCACAGTATGTGAGCGACAATGAGGAAGTAGACTAGCTCTCCCTGGCAAGAAAAAAGGTAAACCAGCATCTTGACATTGCAATCCTTTCTTAAATAAGATACTTGTAAGGAACAAATGAATCCTGCCTATCCTATTTCATAAAACTGTACTTGGTGTTTTTTTTTGTTTTGTTTTTTTAATTCTTTATTTTTGCCGTGCATAATAACAGTTTCATGTTTACAATACCGTGACAGTAAAATCAAAGGTTCAACATATCTCAATATAGGTATTTCCATTTAGGCGACTGCACAATGTGGTGAAAACTAAAGTCTAGTTATTCCAATAGAGGTGTGTTCTCTGGGTTAGGTTGAAGGGATCATGATACTCAACTACATGTATTGCCGAAGTCTCAGCCATTGCGTTATTAGCTTTTCCTGGTGGCAAATGTATGTAGTAAATGTCTCGTGCCGTCTGATGGAAGTAACCTGTTAACTTTTTGTATGAATTGACTATGTGTGGGTTATCCTCAGGTCAGTATGATGTGGCGTTAACCGTGATCTGGCGCCATTCTGTAGCTCTTGACCTATCTGTGGGGTGATGGGGGGGGTGAGGATGGGTGATGGAGATCCTCCAAGTTTAGGCGGCACTCTAATCGGGCTTTGAGATCGTATAGTGGGGTGAGGAGTGTGGGGCTCTCAGGTAGAGGAGTTATATGCACTCCTCTGAGCATGGGCCTGTGTGGCTGACTAGGGCTCAAAGTGTTTCTATTAGTGCCTCGTATTATGCGAGTAGCCATATGACCTCGTATCATTTGATATAGAGAAGGAAAAGTATAATGCTTAAGATTCGGGTTTAACATTAAATAGGTATCTGCTAAGATTACGTAGCTTAAGATCGAGTTTTGCATGGGAGAAGTTGCCTTGCAGCCTTTGAAGCATGATAATTATCTAAACAACGCTTTAAATCTATATTAAACATACAACCAGTGAATTTCGTTATAAATCCTGTTTTAACGTGGGTGGAGATGTCCCAAAGTTATTAGACAAAGTGGAACAACATCTTAGAAGGTCGTAATGGGCGTCGATAATCAGGTGACAGTGTCCCGTCTGGTCCTGGGTGTAAAAGGGGTGATGTTGTTCACATCCCAGTCGGCTGGCGTTGTCGGTGTCGCTTGCGTAGCAGGTAGGTTCAGGGCCTGTAGAAAGGCTGTACAGTCCGAGGCCCTGTAGTGTGTCCCGTTTTTAATCACCGTGATGGCTCTGGGGTGGGACCATCGGTATGCCAGTGCCGCACTCTTTGGTGATTGGTTGCATGGATTTCCTCCATAGTAGCGTTGCTCTGCAGAGGTCTTGGAAGAAGGTACGTGAAAATGATTCAAATTTTAATGGTGTTTTCCCCTTCAGAGCCGTGAAGATCCTTTGCTTATCTGCATAAGACTGGCAACATAAGATGATGTCTCGGGTTGAGGTGGTGGGCGCTTGGGGGGATTTAGCGATGCGGTACACACCTTCAAAGGCGAATTGCTTGACCGATCGTGTCGCTAGTAGGAAGGCGACCAGTCGCCGGACAAAATGTGGTAGTTCATCGGGGGGGGAGCATGTCAGCGACTCCCAGTATCTTGATGTTTTTACTCCTACTTCTGTCTTCTAATTGCTCCATTCGGCTCGATAAGTGTGAGTAAGAGGAGCTGAGGTGTTGAACTGTGTCCCCGAGGTTATCTATGCCCTGTTTCAGTGAGGTTATGTCTGCCTCTGAGGTGTGTAGCCTGGCAGTTACCTGCTGTATCTCAGACTTTACTGCTGTGATGTCAGTTGTAAAGAGCCTCTGCATATGGAGGAATAAGTTGTATATGTCTCCCTTTGTAGATGGAGCATCGCTGTCTCCTAACAGCAGGGACCCCAGGTCCGGGGTATTTTCCTCTATTGGAGTATGTTGGGCCGCAGGCCGCAGGGGTGCCGTTTCTTTTGAGCGGCACCGAGGTGAGCATTTGCCCGATGTCTTGGCTATCTCTAGCCGCCGGCTGACTTAGCCGCGGGTTTTTGCGGCCCTTTACGTCGTCGGAGGATTCACCCAGGATGTTTTTGGTAAAGAGGTCGAAGGCTGCCTCGAGGCTGCTGTCCCGTCCCAGTCGCCGGCTCCACGCGTGGTAGGCCAAAGATCCTCGATGCCGAGTTTTGGTGGTCGCCGGGAACAGAAAGGGCATCTGCGGGTTTGGTGAGCTCTCCTGTGTATAACTCCAGGGTTTTTGTTTATGTGTGGCTAGTTTACTTGCCGGTATTGAGAGTTTTCTTGATTGAACGGCCGGACCCGGTCTGACTTGCGTCCGTCTCCGTGTGCTGCTTAGCTCCGTCCCCTGTACTTGGTGTTTTTAGTGGTCATGATATGCAATATATACAAAAATGGGTATGTTATCCTGAGACTGATTCTAACTCCCAAGTCCCTGCCCTGACATGGGACTTGGGAGATAGATCAGCCTCAGAATAACATACACATTTTTGTATATATAACATATCATGACCGCTAAAACACCCTTTGATGCTTTATGAAATTGGATAGGCAGGACTCATTCTGTTGTTCCTAATCATTCAAGAATATTTATCTTCTATTGACTCCAATTATCTTAATCATTTGCTGGTTATTTCATGTTGCAACATGTGTAATAAACTAATCGAGAAGAGCAAAGAAGAGATGATCTTATGTCAGCAAGCTTGCAGCATATACCTTCATCATCAAAACCACAATAGTTGATTACTCAAAGTTGTGTGGTAGTAAAATTCAATGAAATAAGAAATATAAGTAAAACTCTGTGTATTGTAAATTGTGTACATACACTTGGCATGATTAAAATCATGAGTTCATAGACCTCTTTTCTTTAGTAGGACACGTGTCTCATCAAGAAGACTCAACAGTAGCAGTAAGTCATGAATACAGAATCTCTACCATCAAAGTTACTGCAAGATCTATATATATTAAACATATAAACCCATCACTCATCTGTTCTTTCAATAAACCTAGCTAAATGATGTTTCATAAGCCATTCATTGCTGATGCAGCTAAAATGTATTTGCATCAAAAAAGAGCACAGTTAATGTGTCCTCATATGATATTAAAATCTATAGCTTTTAAGGATAGTGGAGCTGCATGGCCATGAAAGTGTTTACAACTTACATATCCTAACGCTAGGCACATGAAATCTACCTAATTTTAGCTCTATAAACACACATACACCGGTTGTAATGATTAGTGTGACAATTTAAATGTTACCAAAGGATCCACAATCTGTTACTATTAAGCAGGGCTAACTTACCCTTCTTAAAACCTGGACGTCTGCTGAGTGGCATCTGCAGGTCTCTGTCCTACTTCAGCATTCAAGTGAACCACACAGCCAGATTTAATTCAGGAATATAAAGGTGCCTTAATTAGTGTAGTATTTAAAATGTTATATATGTTTATACTATCAATTAAAAATTCACATCATAATACAAGAAGGGCAGTACTGGGTGGGGTGCTGACATATTTTATTCCTGATGACCCTTCCTATGAGGACTAATTGGTCCTAATTCTGCTATTTGTGTGGTCTAAAGCTGTGCAAAATAAGTGGGACAGACCACCCAGCCATCTAGGACTTGTATATGTCTCCAAACCATCATCTACCTCTAAAAAGACTGTAATAATCCACGTATGCCCCTATAGCATGTACCTCCCAGCCCAGTGCCCTTTTCCAGTGTCCCAGGAGATGTCATAGACTGTGGAGGAACTCACAGATGCATGGCGCACCTGACTGGGAGAAAACCATAAATGTTCTGGAACTCCTAATCGGATCGCAGAGTTATCACAATCCGGTAAAAAATTGTTGAGATCGCTCCCAGTCCCAGAGTCACCAAACAGGGTGCTATTTGGAAGGGTTAAAGAGGGGGCGGTGAGGCATCGAAAGATATCAAAGACTTTAGGGAGCTCCATGTACAAAAGGAAAGAGCCATCATTGAAGGTGACTTGGGCTTCCCACCCTGTGTTGTGAAACTCTGTGACAAATTGGAGGATGTTCGTGGGCAGGTCAAAAATTTACATCCATACTATTTGGGCTAGACACCTCTGATCTGGGAGCTTTTTGGACAGCATGGGTGCTGGATTGAGAGCAATCCAGTGGCACTGGTTTAGGGATACGGATCTGGGAACGTATATTTTTATGTTAGAATGTGTCAAGGTGTCTAACCACTAATAAAGTTATCTGGTCAGGTACAGGCACATAGTCGTCAGGTATGTCACAAGACCCACTGTTTCCCTGGGAACTCCTAGGATAAAAGAAGTGACATTCGGGCAATAAAGGTATTCTGATATCACCCTAATATTAAGCCTCAGTTAATGATTGGTAATGGGATATAATCAATCTAAGACCTATTCACTAAGGGGGAAAGTGGACCCTGGCAGTGACATTCAAGCTTTTCGCAGATAGCCCACCACAATAATAATTTTAGTTCTCAGTTATCTGCATAAATCCCTTAACATTTAAATTGACTGTATTTAAACATTTAAATTGACACTTATACATCTTGGGAATATATGTGCAACCCACAAAGTTCTAGTGGATTAGTATGAAATGTCAATATGAAAAAGTGACTTATTGTGAAATCGCAGACTTCATGATTAAGATCTAAACATCGGTAATTTATCACTCCCACACCTTCCTTACACTTAAATGTAATCATTGTGATAACCACTTTAAAATTACATAAATGTGTCTTTGCGTGGATGAACCCATTCTGCACTGTGAAGTAATGATTTTTTTAGCCTGCTGAAAGAAGATTTCAAATTTATTTTTTTGAAAAATAATAATCTGACATACACTAATGTTAAGAAATATAACATATATTGCATTGGTTTGTTTATCTTCAGGTAAAGCACGAGTGTCAAGAAATGGTGACAGAACTCTGGTAAGAACATTATTTACACACGTAATTAGTCCCTGTAGACTGTATTTACATTATGTGTTATTGTGCATTCAGACTGCCTGAACTGTCCATGTAACTTATTCTGTGTTTGAGCTGAACGAGAACATTTGTGTGCTGGCGGCACGAAAGCCACCAGCATTCATACAGAAGTTTCACGACCAGTGAATTCCAACACTGTTCGTGAAACGAACAAACTACCGAATTGGAGGTCGTGTGGCTCCCATTACAGATTGCAACAATGTATCTTTCGGCAGTTAATAGATGTTCAGGGTGGCCGCCGTTCGGATACCGACCATGCAACGGCAGCCATCTTGGGTCCTTTGTTAGCCCCGAGGTGTTTGGTCGTCGAGTGCCTGGAACTAAAATTGGCTACTCAACGGCACGAATACCGCGGGACTTCCAGGCCGTTCTGGAGCACCGGTCTTTCGGTATTTTATCTCTACATAGTATTCATGACTTCTGTGAAGAATTTGTATTCAAGTGTATTTCGTGCGGCGTTCGGCTAATTGTGCTGGAATCTGAGCGGTACTTTCACGAAGTATGCGCTCAGACCCCAGCTATCTGCCGAACGGTCATTCGGTACAATAGCACGAATAATATTGGAGTTATGGATTTTTATGTAAAAAGACAGTTCTTCTGTACTGAGGGATAATCCACTTAACTGGATATTCTAGTGGGAGTATCCCTCTCGTACAGCAGTGCATGGTGGGAGAAATGTTCTGTATGTTAAGTTCACCATGTAGTCCCCTACAGTACAACCCCTGTAAAGTCAGTAAGGAAACTCCTTGCATGGGGAACCACATAAATACTGGAGCTTGTAAATAAAACCTCAGTTGACTCCCAGCCTATGTGTCATCTAGTTCTTGGGAAGGAAGGATCTGTATAATGCTACCGGGATTATTGTATGCTGTACTTGTTCTATCTGGATTATTATATGCTGCTCCTGTCTACCAGCGGAGATACTGTGGATTATACTACCTCTCCACTACAGTCCCTTAATTATTTAATTTCAAATTACATTACAAAATGACATAAAATTAATCCAGCCTTGCAGTAAAATAAACCATAACAGACTACATACAAATTCTGACAATTAAGACTTAAAGGATCACTATAGGGTCAGGAACACAAACATGTATTCCTGACCCTATAGTGTTAACACCACCATCTAGCCCTGGGCCCCTCATGCCTCCATAAATATAGTAAAAATCTTACTGTATTCAAGCCAGAAGCTGTAAATCTGCATGCTGTTAGACTCAGAAAAACAAACAGTCTTCTGACATGTGGTAGCCTGATCCAATCACAGTGCTTCCCCATAGGATTGGCTGAGACTGACAAGGAGGCAGATCAGGGGCAGAGCCAGCATGATTCAAACACAGCCCTGGCGAATCAGCATCTCCTCATAGAGATGAATTGAATCAATGAATCTCTATGAGGAAAGTTCATTGTCTGCAGATCTGAGTGGATGGAGGCATATTATGCCTCCATCAACTCTGAAGTCCCTCTGGTTCACTCTGAGTGACTGCAACTGGAGGTGTTCCTAGCTTTCAATGTAAACACTGTATTTTCTATGAAAATATAGTGCTTACATGAGAAAGGCTGCAGGGAGCTATAGTTCTCACCTGAACAACCTCATTAAGCTGAAGTTGTTCATGTGACTATAGTGTCCCTTTAAAAGAGCACTATAGTGCCAGGAAAACAAACTCATTTTTCTGGCACTATAAGGTTATTAGGTCCCCCCTCCTTCTGGGCTAAAGGGGGTAAAACCCCTTCAGCCACTTACCTTAATCCAGCACTGGGCTCCATCGGCGCTGGGGACCTCTCCTCCCCCTGCCGACATCAGCTCCGAATGCACATGCGCGGCAAGAAACGTGCACGCATTTAAACCGCCCATAGGAAAGCATTACTCAATGCTTCCTATGGACGTCCAGCGTGTCCTCAATGCGATTTTCGCATTGAGGATTGCGGAAGCAGCATCTAGTGGCTGTCAGTGAGACAACCACTAGAGGTTGGATTAATCCTCAGTGTAAACATAGCAGTTTCTATGAAACAGCTATGTTTACAGCTGCAGGGTTAAACCTGGGGGACCTGGAACCCAGACCACTTCATTGAGCTGAAGTGGTCTGGGTGCCTATAGTGGTCCTTTAAGCAGGTTAAGTCTTTTTTTTTTTTTTTATATATAATTCTTTATTTTTGATATGCAGACAGGTACAACAGTGCCTGTATCGCCACAACGGCATCAGCAGGCTCGATTATCATGGTCATAGCAAAACAGTAACATGGCATGTAGGGTTTGCATATATTTTTAAATAAAAAGTAGTAACGATTTAAGATATAGTCGTTTGTGTATCAAATGACAGGCTTAATAAGTACATTTCTAAACAAGGCTTAACAAATGAACCTGGAATGAGCAGGTACAGTAAATGTCTACGTGTGTCCCTGAATGTGAGGCATCAAGGTAGTATGCAACAAGCTTAGCATCGTTTAGGGTGCCACTGGTCATGCCAGGTGATAAGTTAGCGGTAGTATTAGTATAAGAGTGTTGTTAAAAGGGGCCACCCAAATTAGTGATAGTCTGCCTCGAAATTATATATTCTGGTATTCTGTATTTTTTGTGTAACTAATGAACATAACAGTCTTGCAGACAGCGGACCAAACACTTGCAATATCATACACTTATTAACCTCGTCATGGCATTTAGATTTCTTGCACATTTTTTGTTACGTTAAATGCAGCTGCTAACATGCTAGTCAGGGACGTCTAGGTAGAGTGGACATGTAGTAGGTTCATGAGAAGTTCTAGACAAAGGAATTAGAAAAATTGCAAAAAGAGAAGTGATAATTATTATCAGAGGTAATAACATGACAGGTGTATAGTCGCCATTTTGGGCAGTCGGAATCCAGGACAACCACCCCATAACCCAACCCAATAACGCACATACTAGAGGATATGGGGAAATATGTCCACAGCTTTATTTAGCAAACAATAATAATAACAATAATAATCATAATAATAACTTAACAAGTAAACATGGGTCATTGCCCCCATACTCCGCCCTCGCATCCTATTCCTTCCATTAACATATAAAGGGCAATGACCCCCATATAAATAAACATATATATATAACATACATCAACATTATTCCAATCGATGTAAAGTGCCAACCATCCATTAACCACGGCAGGGGTATACCCGGATACCCCTACCCCACCAGGTTCTGAGCCACCGACAGGACTCGAAACCTATCAACCACCAATGACCACCACTTGTTTGTCTTCCATTACGTTCATCCTGGGGAGCCTATTTCCTCTCCTTCAGCTCCCCGTCCCGCCGCTGTGAAAAAACGGGACAAAACCACACATAACAAAACAGGGAGGGTGGGTGGGACAAACTTAACCAGGTAGGAAGTTAAAATGAATTAACTAAAATGGCTGCCCATTTAAATAACCAAACCCACTTACCCATAACTCCACTCCCTTGCTTACTTCCTCCTAGGCCCGCCTCCTAACCCCTGTCAAGGCCTTTTTCCGCTTAGCTGCGCTTGGCTACATGGGGCTACATGACAGGTGTATAGTCGCCATTTTGGGCAGTCGGAATCCAGGACAACCACCCCATAACCCAACCCAATAACGCACATACTAGAGGATATGGGGAAATATGTCCACAGCTTTATTTAGCAAATAATAATAATAACAATAATAATCATAATAATAACTTAACAAGTAAACATGGGTCATTGCCCCCCATACTCCGCCCTCGCATCCTATTCCTTCCATTAACATATAAAGGGCAATGACCCCCATATAAATAAACATATATATATAACATACATCAACATTATTCCAATCGATGTAAAGTGCCAACCATCCATTAACCACGGCAGGGGTATACCCGGATACCCCTACCCCACCAGGTTCTGAGCCACCGACAGGACTCGAAACCTATCAACCACCAATGACCACCACTTGTTTGTCTTCCATTACGTTCATCCTGGGGAGCCTATTTCCTCTCCTTCAGCTCCCCGTCCCGCCATAAGCTCAGACCCTGACCCCTTAAGCCGTCTGAGCTCCGCCACCCCGAAGAAACAGCGCCCGCTGCATACCAACCTGCCAACCCAAGTTGAGCAGATCCCAACCCACCTCCGAAAGGTGAACCCCATCCGAGCGGTAGTACCCCGGCAACCCCTCCTCCAACTCGCTGTGCCGTACCACCACACCTCCCATCTTCCTAATGAAGCTCGCCATTAAGCTGTTCACCTTTTTCCTGCAGTGATCAATCGCCACCGGATCCCGCGCGTGCCGCCATCGACGCCTTGGGACAATCTCCGACCACACTAACATAACCCCCGGAAGCAGGTCCCTCAATTTGTTGATGTCCTGCTTCATCCACTTTACCAACCGACGTTGTGGCGTGAGGGCCAAGTCGTTACCCCCAGCATGAAGGACCACCATGTCCGGTGTCCTCCCGCCCACCACCATCCTAAACATTGCCCCACAAACCTCCCCCCAGCAAAATCCCCTGTACCCAAACCATCGGACTGTCAACTGGTCCTTCGGAAAGCCCAGCTGCTGGCCCTGCATTCGAGCTGCGGCCCTCCCCTCGGCCCAGAAGACAAAAGAATGTCCCACAATCCAAGCAACCCGTCCTGGGGAGAAGAAGAAAACAAGCATGAGGGAAAGGCAAAAGAGGACTCCTCCGTCCATGTCCGCCCCCGCACCATATCTATACATACACATATATAAACATATACCTGCCTTTTCCCTTTTTTTTATTTTTTTTTTTATTCCAATAAGCCCAACCGCACATATGAGCGGAACCGCACCGACTCCCATCTCCCTATGCGCTTCACGACCTCATCTCCTAATCCCAACCGTGCGGCCTCCGTGGCCGCCCCAATGCGAAAGGAGTGAGTACCAAAACGTCCGTCCGGAAGCCCCAACTTACCTAGCCCGGCCCGAAAAACCTTTGTAAACTGAAACCGGGACAGGGAAGAACCATCCGCATGTACCAAGAAGGAACCCCCTACCGCCGGCCTCCGAGCCATGTACTCCGCCACTGCAGCCACCGGGCACAATGCTGCGCCCGGCAGAGCCCATAGCGTAACGTCCCTACCCACGCCACGGACGTCCGTCTTAGAACTACCCAGATGCAAAACCACCTTACCCTCCAAAACACGAACCCCTGAGGCCTGCAGACCCCCGGGCACCACCCTACTGGCACTCACCAGCTCCCCCACGCGGAACGCCCCGAAAAATGCCAAGAGAAAAGCCGCTCTGAACAGAGAGACCTCAAACCCGTTGAAACAAATTTCCGGCAACCGACCCACCAGATCCCCCAATACCCGTACCGACACCGGGCGCCTAGAGTCACAGGTCCTGCGGCCCTTTCGATAACCCTTCAGTGCCTGCCGTACTAGGAAGGTCTTAGTCAGATCCTCCGACCCGCGCCATCGGAACCAGAGCGCCATTGCCGCCATGGACCTGTCGACCACTGCCGGGGACGCCCCCTTTGCCAGCAATTGGCAGGTGTACCATAGAAAAGCGTCCCGCAGCGCATCCCCACGTAAGCCATGCTCCAACCCGTCTAATGATCGTTCCCAAGAGTCCCAGACCTTACTGTAGGAGGCCCATGTGGCTGGTGCCAGTGAAGCCTTCACAAGTCCCCCAAGCAGGACGCTCCCAGCTGCCATATCTCGTCCGGGCAAGCCTCCCCTTCCTTCAATGCTCCTGGCGCCATCGACCAAAATCGGGACCACTGAAAATGAGACAGAGCGTCAGCCACCTCATTCAGGTACCCAGGGACATGACGCGCGCGAAACACAACATTCCGTGACATACACATCAACACAAAGCGCCGCAGCAACCTAACCACCGGCTTAGAGGCCGCCGATTGATTATTCACCGCATGCACCACCGCCATGTTGTCCGAGAAAAAGACCACTTTCTGGTCCCGGAGCCCCTCGCCCCATAGTGCCATTGCAACGACCAACGGGAATAATTCCAGAAAAGCCAGGTTGCGCATGACTGGGCTAGACCCCCATGCCTCCGGCCACCGCTCTGCGCACCATCTCCCGCCAAAGTAGGCCCCGAAGCCCACACTACCCGAAGCATCCGTGAAGAGCTCCAACTCCGCCGCCGACTTACCCGCCCGCCTGAAAAACACCGTCCCGTTGAAATCCTGCAGGAAGGCATCCCACACGCCCAAATCAGCCCTCATGGTTGCTGACACCCGTATGAAATGATGCGGGGATCGAACTCCTGCCGTAGCAGCCGCCGGGCTGCGGCTGAAAACCCTCCCCATAGGAATTACACGGCATGCAAAGTTCAGCATCCCTATTAGCGACTGCAGTTGCCGCAGCGTAACTTTGCGCTCGACGGTCACCGCAGCTACCGCCCCCTTGAGCCCCTCCAACTTGTCCCGAGGCAGTCGGCATTCACCCAAGATAGAATCTATTTCTAACCCCAAGAAACTAAGGCACGTCGTCGGGCCCTCCGTCTTATCCGCTGCCAGCGGCACCCCAAAGTGGCCCGCCACCCATTCCACGGTCCTAAGCAGTTGCTGGCATGCTGAGGAGGCAGCCGGCCCCACGCAAAAGAAATCGTCCAGGTAGTGCACCACCGAACGGTTCCCCGCCTCGACCCGCACCACCCATTCGAGAAAAGTACTAAATTTCTCGAAATAGGAGCATGAAATAGAACAGCCCATAGGGAGGCACAAGTCCACGAAATATTTTCCCTCGAAAAAACATCCCAACAGGTGGTGGCAGTCCGGGTGGACTGGCAGCAGCCGAAACGCCGCCTCAATATCCACTTTTGCCATAAGTGCCCCATGCCCGGCCCGTTTAACCAGCTCGACCGCCCGGTCGAATGATGCATACGAGACCGAGCATAGGTCCTTATCAATACCGTCATTCACCGACTCCCCTTTTGGGTAGGAGAGGTGGTGAATGAGCCGGAATTTCCCCGGCTCCTTCTTTGGCACCACCCCAAGAGGGGAAACCCGTAGGTCCTCCAATGGGGGCACCGCAAACGGGCCCGCCATCCGCCCCAGCGCAACCTCCTTGTCTAGTTTCTCCCGTACCACCCCCGGGAAATCCGCCACCGACTTCAGGTTGCGCAACCCCCCCGAACCCCTCCGCTCCCGGAAGGGAATAAAGAAACCCCGCCCGAAGCCTTCCCTAAGTACCGAGGCATCAGTCCTGTTACCGTAGCGGCTTAGCCACGGCTCCATCGCGTCTAGCCTCACCGGCGTGAAGCCCCGGGGCAGGGGAAGCATTCCCTCCGGCCCCGGCAGCCGCTCCGGCTGTTCCCGCCTTCCCTTTTTTGAAACAGCGATTGAGCCCATGAGCACCCCCGCAACCGGAGCACTCATGCTTAAATCGACACGCGTTTCCCCATTTGCACTGGCCCTCATTGTAGAGCCAGCAGAAGCCCTTTTGCAAAGCGGCCGACGAGGCGGACTGCCCCTTCGCGCCGGCCGAGTTTGGAAAGGGCTGCGCCTTCTGGGCCATCATTAGCTTCATCCAGAGGGGCAGATCCATCTGATCCCACCTCATCCCCGGGTTAGCCGCCAGTCGCTGCCTGAACTGTTCATCGTAGCGCCACCATGCCAGCCCCCCATAGGTGCGATATGCTTCCCAAATGCCGTCCAGGTAGCAGAACAGGGACGAGCATAATCCCGGCGATTTTTCCCCGAGCACGCTGGCTAGCACGCAAAACGCCCGTAACCAGTTGCCAAAGGATTTCGGAATCTTGCGATACCGCTTCCTCTTCTCCTCCTCCTCCTTCTTTTCATCCTTTTTATCCTCCTCCTTGAGGTCAATAAAGTCCTCCAAGGGGAGCAGGGAGAAGATCTCGCAGAACTCACCTTTCCAGAGCTTCTCTTTCACGTCCTGTTTCAGATGAACCCCCAGGGGGCCCGCAAACGAGACGTATGCGTGCTGCCTCGCTGCATCCGGAATACCCCCGGCCAGTTCCGCCTTGTCACCCCCGGCCGCCATCGCCTCGGGCGCCACCCCCACGTCCCCGCCCGAACTAAGCCCCACGGAAACCCCACTAGGACCAGGGACCTCCGTCCCCGGGGCCCAAACCCGACCAACGCCACCCCCCGTGTCACCCCCCGCCCCCAGCGAGTGGAGCAGTGCTTGCAGTGTGCTAACCAAGGAACTGGAGTGTAGTGACCCACAAGACTCACCGGCCAAGCCCCCTGCAACTGACGCGGCAGGGGCTGCGTCGTCGACTGCCCGATGTCCAGGGAGAGCGACTCCCGCCGATACCTCGCCAACCGGGGAGCCAAACCGGTGCCTTGCCCGTGTCGATATGGAACAGCTCCGTGACCTGGAAAGAGGAGAAGAAGTCCTGGGTAGGGTGCACTGAGTATTCGCATCCCCCCCGTCTCGACCCTGGGAGCGCCTGCCCCTTGCCAAAGCCTCCCGCTGTGCCCCCTGCACGCGCCGCGCGCGGGAGCCCCTAGGGCTACGGCTCCTCCTGTCTTCCCCGGGCATCCGTCCCCGCCGACCACCCCTGGGGACGCTAGACCCGCTCTCTCCCGAGCTCCCTGACCTGGAGCGGCGCTGCCGGGACCTCCCCCTCCTCCCCCCTCTTCCCCCGTGGCTCTACTTCCCGAACCGGAGAGGGACTACCACTACAGGACCCTGAACCGGACCCCCCCCCCTACTACCCTGCACCCCCAAACGCTCACCCCTCCGGCTAGAGCCCGACCCCCCACCTGAACTGGCTCCCAGACTAAGGGGACCTAGACCCCCCTCAACCAGACTGGCCCCCCCAACCCCTAAACCAGGCCTACCCGACCCTACCCGCACCGGCCTAGCCCCAGAGCCCAAGGAGGCCCCCTTTCCCCTACTGGGGGAGCCCAGCAGTCCCTCCTCACCCACAGCCCCCCCACCCCTACCACTACTCCCCCCACCTATGACCCCTATGCCCTCCCCATCCACCACCCGCGGTCCCTGGGAGGCCTTCCCACCCCCCACTTGGGCCCTCCTCCCTCCGCCCCCTGACAGGACCCCCCCAGCACTTTTCCCGCCAAGAGGGCCCCGGCCGGAGCCCCCTGCACTTGCCTTTGGGGCCGGGAACCGGCCACGTGTCCTCCCGGTCCCGGCCCCGCCGATCTCCGCCTCCGACGGGGCGCGCGCCCTCCCGGGCCGCAGCTCCATGCTGCCCGCTCCTCCAGGGGACCGCCCGGCCACGTCCGACCCGGCAGCCGCGACGGCCCCGTCCCGACCGTCCCCCCGGCGCCGGGCACTGGTCCTAGGCTCCGGCCGCTCGCGGGGAGGCGGGGCCTCTACCACGCGGCTGCCGGGCCTGCTGCCGCCCGCACCGGAGCCTCCCGGACCACCAGGGATGTCTTCACCGGGTCCCACACCCGGGCTTAGCCGCTCCGGAGGCCTCCTGGCCCGAACAGGCCGTCGTCCGCCACCGTCCTGGCCCTCCGCCGCCGCCGCCAGGGCCGGGCCTAACTGGGCCTTCAGCCAGTCAGCCCCCTGGTGCCTCGCCGCCGACCGGATCCGCTCCAGCAGACGCTCCACTTCCTCCATCGGCCCTGCAGGGAGACAAAAAGGAAAAAACCCTACCAAGCCAAGTCTGTGCCCACAGGAGCGAACACAAACTTAACCAGGTAGGAAGTTAAAATGAATTAACTAAAATGGCTGCCCATTTAAATAACCAAACCCACTTACCCATAACTCCACTCCCTTGCTTACTTCCTCCTAGGCCCGCCTCCTAACCCCTGTCAAGGCCTTTTTCCGCTTAGCTGCGCTTGGCTACATGGGGCTACATGCTAGGTGAGCCTAGATCTCATAGTTTACATGAGCGTGTGGACATGCTACAGCAACTTTAGGCTTACATGCTACATCGCAGTGAGGTTGAAGGCTTCCCTGTGCATATGCATAAAGTGAAATTTAACAGGCTTAGTCAGTCAGCTAGTGTCAAGCCGGTGAACACCGTGAAACTATGGGTACTAGGTAGGTGTTAGACAAAGGAAATACATGATGTACCCTTTCTAGGAGCTATTGACAAGTGTGGTGATTGGGTAGTTAAACTGAGCTTGGTGCCCATACTCGCTTATGTTGGGGCTAACATAAAGAAATGTACAGTATCTGTATTTCTGGGCTAGTGTGGTTCCTTAAAGCTTGCCTCCAAGTTGGTATTTTACAAAATAATAAGTAAGAAGTAGGGCAATAACAGAAAAAACATGCAAGCAGTGTATGTAGCAATACTAGGAGAGGGAAGTCCTGAGAGGCATGACAGGTTTCTTACCTCTGTTATTAGCCCCCTGGTGTGGGCCTGTGGGCAAAGAGGCTACCAAGCAAGGTTCCTCCACGTTGGATACATTGGTGTAAATATTAAATGACTGCTTGCATCACTACTTTCTCGTAGCCGTGTGTTACCTAGGGTTTACCCTCACGGCTTAGTCCCAGGGCCAGTTTCAGTCTATGCCAGCAGGGGGTACGGCATAGTGCCAGAGTGGGGAGGTATGCTGCATGTCTCCTATCCACTGTGTAATCCGGTGTGTCGGGGCTCGTGTCTTGTGTCTGTTGCTGCTCGTATTGCTATGGGGGTGGCTGAGGCTAGGTCTGGCTGCGGGTATAATTAAATTAAATTATATTAAAGGGAAACAACCGGTTGAGTTGCTCCCCGAGAGGTTCAAGTCCCTTTGGGAGGGCGGGTGTAGTAGTTCTGTGAAGGCAGTTCGTGGTGCCGTTTAGGTAAGTGAATGTGCCTGTTGCCTCCGTGGTTACCGAGGCATAGGCGTCTGGTGTAGTACTTCTTGGTATGAACGCGGTAATTCATGCCGGGGAGGCGTGATCGTGGGATCTCTCTTGGGTGAGAGAGTCCTGCGGTAGGCCCAAGGTTCGCAAGAGATTCGCCGCCTCCTGAATGCCGTGGATCTGGTGCGTGTTTCCTCCTTGTTGCACTAGGAGTGTTTGGGGGGGCCGCCAGCAGTAATGTATGTTGTGTTGCTGGAGCAGGGATGTGAGAGGCCGGAGTGACCTATGCCAAGCCAGAGTTCCCCTGGACAGGTCGGCGTAGAAGGTCAGTTGCATGTTTTCAAACTGCAGGGAGGTTTTACCCCAGAGAGCCGCGAGGATCGCCGATTTGTCCTTCCCATTCCTGAAGGTAATTATTGTATCCCTTGTGGCTGGGGCTGGGGCCCTGGAGGGTTTGGGGACCCGGAAGAGGTCTGTGGGTGTGATGGGCTTAGCCTGGCCGAGGGGCAGTATACTGGTCAACATACGTTTAAATGCTTGTGGCAGCTCTGCCTCTAGCATCTCCTCCAGGATCCCTCCGACCTTTAAATTATGTCTCCTTCTGGTATCTTCTTGGGCCGCGAAGCGGCATTCATATAGTAGGTTATGGTTTTGTAAATCCTGCACGGCTGTCTGTAGTGAGAAAATATTCCGTTGGTGTTCTTGAGAGGAGTCCTCTATCGTTGTTATGCGGCCTGTCAAGCCCTGTAGCTCACCCCTTAGAGCGGTGACATCCGTGAGGATGTTTTTCTGTAGGTCTGCTAATAGTGCTTTTAATACCCCAGTGGTTACCAGGTCGGCATCTGGGTCAGCTCTCAGTTTGTTGAGATTCACCCTCTGCTTTGTGGCTTGGGCTGGGAGGTAGTCATCCTCGGCATCTCCAAAGCTGTCATCCAAAAAGTCCCAGTAGCCTCCGTGGAGAGCCGCCATTGTGGATTCGCTTGTGTCGCATTCTTGCCGCCACATTTCTCCAATTGTTAGCCCTGGGGCAGGTTTGTCCGCCGTGGGTTTTTTATTCTTCCGACCCATATGGCTAGGGGTATTCCCACGCTTGTTCTGTTAACCGTGGGGATGAGGTGGGCTGTATTTAGGTTTAGTTTCTTGGTTTTTTTTTTCCTCAGAGCTTCAGGATTGTGCGTCCGCTTGTCTCGGCAGTTAGGCTCCGCCAAGCAGGTTAAGTCTTAAGTCAATTAACCCTTCCTTCACTCTACCTTCCCATTTGCTACTCAACCCTCCCTAGCTGCCTAACCTGTTTTTCCTCTTTCTTTACAAATCTCCCACGGTTAGGTCCACATTTATCTGTAGAAACAAAGCTGTTCATCGTTTATAAGACTAGTCTAATAAAACATTGTACTATAAAAAATACAATAGAGTCTACCACTTTGATTCCCCTCAGTCTGAAACGACGTTGACTTCTGATTTTGTCAATTCCTTGTGTCTCTTATTCTAAAGCATGTCATTTATATCCCTAGTGCCTTTTAGTCCACTGTTGCCCCTATATTTGTTAGTGCAGTCATGCAGTAAAATGCATGTCAGTAATGGGTACATATAGCCTAAGGCAAATATCAGCTGACAATATGCTTGCCTTTAGAGATTTAACATAGACGGTGACACCAACACAAGTACTTGTACTTTTTACTAAGGCTGGAGCTATTAACTATTGCATAATACAATGGGATGCCAAGGGAGCAGTAACTGGTGGATATAGAGAGTATCACTTTAAAAAACACAGAGAGGGTGAAGAGTCATTGGTAAAAGAAATCTCCAAACCGGTTTAAAAAAAAAAAAAAAAACAGTACTCCAAAACTTTACCCCAATATTTAGAGTAAACTGTCTATGTACCTTAGATTAAAATCAACAGCGTGGAACCATTCTTAATTTCCAGAGCCATTAGCAGACTATACCTCGCTTTCTTACATCTCACTTATCACTAGTACACTGCTTGGTTAGCTGAATTTCTATTAGATTTTGTTGCATTTGTTTGTTTCATATACCCTTGAATGAAAGTATTGCTTTTTTATTTTGGTTAGTGCGGGGACTGGATTTGATAAAAATGAAACTTTATTTTCCACATTAGCATATGTTTTTTTCATACTGATCTATCTAGTTTATAATACAACACACACAAAAAAGCACATTGCACAGAAGAATTATTTATAGAGAAATGCTGCATATAAGTAGACTGACATTATATTGATTGCATGTTCTTTATGTTTCAGGACAATGAAGAGGGTCTTGTCTATATGGTACCCATCTTCAATCGAGGCAGTACTCAGAGAGAACCTCCTACAGAACATGAGACTGAATATATTGCTTTAAGACATTAAACCTGCATCCTGCTGAAGACCGCTTATTCAGGAGACATGTTTAAAGGATTGTTACTATTATTATATTTATATATGATAATAAAAATTTTATATATATATTCCAAACAATGGGGATAGTTACATAAGTCCTAACATGTTTCTGAATGGCAAAGTCTGGGGTACACGTCTACATCTGACTTAAATTTGCATTTTTAGCATTAGTGAAACTTTATTTACCAGAATTTCCACTACAATTAAGAGCATTTTTGTGTCTGCTGAATATTTATCAGCAAAACGGTCTGATTTCCAGAGTATAAAAATTGGGACAACGAATTACCTTGATATTTGCTACTTTTTTTTAACTCAAATCACATTCCTAATTTGCATATGGGAAAACAAGTGGCTGGCCACACTCACCTGAACATGCTTAAATGGGGTGCTGCTGTGGGCCAAAAAGTACAGTAAAAATGAAAATCCAGCGCACTCACTTATCTACTAAACAGCTACTTTGGTGCTGACAGATTTTGCTAGTTTTATTAAAAACACCTAATCTAGGCAAAATATAATGAGGGTTTAGTTACATTATATGATCATACATTGCAGGGGTTTTGCACCCCTCCCTGTCACATGTGCCTCATCTCAGGACCCTATTTAGCCTTGTACTGCAGAGAACTCGAGATGGAAGAATTTACCCAAGCGAGTAGCTCATTTAGTAGACAGTTGGCAGTAAGAGTAGGACCTGCCAAAGATGGAGTACATTGACGTTGATCATATAATGTAACTAAACCCCCATTATTTTTTGCCTAGATTAGGTGTTTTTAAAAAACTAACAATATCTGTCAGCACCAAAGTAGCTGTTTAGTAGATAAGGGAGTGCGCTGGATGTTCATTCCTAATTTGCAGACAGAAATAGCAAAATAAGACAAGATTGTATTTCAACATCCTAACCCTCACACAAATACCTATTGAGTGATATGGAGGTGGGTATGCCAGTTTTAGGTAACTTGAACATTTTCCCTTGAACTGCTTGCTATTTGACCTGCATTTGTGTTCACAACTTTTGAAAACGCATTCTGAAAAACCAACAGATTTCTTGTCAGTCATTAGTTGTGTTCTTTATGTTCTTCATTGATATAAAGTCATAAAAACATATTCTTCCTCCTTGAATACCCGTTACCAAATCAAAGATAGACCTATTTCTTGACAAGGTTTATTGATAACAAATCTATGAATATGGCAGCCAAAGAAATGTGAGTTTATTAGTAATAAACTTTATTTCTATTGGAGGTAGAGGAATAGACTATCAGTGTTATTGACTAAAGTGAGAATTCCAAGTGAATTTCAAATTAAGGCCAAAGTATTTGAACTGAAAGCATAGCTGACATTTTCAAGCCAAGCTATTTTGACCTTACATTTGAATTCACTTTGCATTTTCACTTTAGTAAGAAGTCAAACATTTAAACTGTATGTGTAAGTGTTTCCTTACATTTTATACCTTTTTAATTTGTGTCTCATCTTTTAACAATTCAATTTCCAAGTTGTAGACATGTGCAATTTGTTTTGTTCCGAATGTACATTCACACAAATTTCATGCCATTCAGACATTTGGATGGAAGTCCTGAAGCTCCGAGGTGACGAAGTTCGGTAGTTCAGAAGGGCCAAAAAGATTCAGGTTTCTGAAAAGTGGCAAAACAAGAAAGAGGGAGGGAAAATAATGTGAATGATGAGAGGAATCTTGATCAATAAGCCAATTCCTTTGTGCAAGGTAATGCCCAATCCAGTTTCACCATTCCTTGTCCAATGAAATGAGCACATTTTTGTCATTGATGTTAGAGGACAGCCAATTAATGGGGATTTTGTCACTGACACTTGGACAATGAAGGCACACAGAGTCATTGAGGCTGTCAGGGTGTTGGCTTGCATTCATGTGACCAGTAGACATGTGCAATTCATTTTGTACCAAATGTACATTCGTACAAATTTTATGTCATTCAGACATTTTGATGCTACCGAAGTTCTGAAGTGACGACGTTCGGCAGTTCCAAAGTGCTGAACCGAACTGAATGCCATTGGTCCGAATTGCTAAAACAGACAAAAAAATTTTACTTACCCAAATTTCCAAACCAATTTTTTTGCCCATGCACATCCCTACCAAATTGTATCCCAGTTGCCTTGTTTATAGTTTAAAAGGATTTTATGGACATTTTTAAAAAAAATTTAACAGTATCGCAAAAATGTTGTGATTCAGAAAAAATGGTTTATTAAAATAGTGTTTTGGTCTTCAGTTTACGTCTTCTTTACTTGATACTTCTTTACTTGTTTGCATGTGATTGTCTAGTCTCAATATAGTGCCGATTATCAAACGCAATATTTATTGTTACGCATTGCTGTAAATAATACAGTTAGGTTTATTTAAATTCTAGTAAATTGAAAACCAAGTAACACAATTTTACCATAAATGCTGGTTTCATAAAACTTCTCCACCTCTTCTGTAGTCAAAGCATGGCTATTTTAGACTAAACTTTGCAATTTTCAAGTTGGTTTCACACTCGAACTTAAATAAAAAGCTGACCGTGTCGTTTTGGAGCTGAGCATACTATCCAAATCTATATTTTGATCTATTGTTTTATTTTATTTTTATACTCTAACAAGCAGATCTGCAAACTCATTTGAAAACTAGATTGCGCAGAGGTATTTTCAATCAGCGGACATTGTACTGACCGGGCACATTTGCAGAGTGTTTAGTTTTTTTTTTTTTTTTTTTTTGAGGCGCATATGCATATAACAGTCTCATGTGAGGTACCCCAACGGTAGTGATGTCCTGAACGGTTCGCGAATGGTTCGCCCAACGGTTCGTGAACGGTTCGCCACGGACTCATCATTGAGTAAACTTTGACCCTGTACCTCACAGTCAGCAGACACATTCCAGCCAATCAGCAGCAGACCCTCCCTCCCAGACCCTCCCACCTCCTGGACAGCATCCATAAGAATGAAGCTGCATTCTTAGTGAGCTGTCCAGGAGGTGGGAGGGTCTGGGAGGGAAGGTCTGCTGCTGATTGGCTGGAATGTGTCTGCTGACTGTGAGGTACAGGGTCAAAGTTTACTCAATGATGAGTCCGCGGCGAACCGTTCGTGGCGAACCGTTCGGCGAACCGTTCGGGACATCACTACCCAACGGCAATCCTCTAGCATTTCGTATTTATCTTGAACATTGAGGTATTTGAGAAAAGCATGTAGTTCAGGGTTTCTATTCAAGAAACAGTGATTTATTGTGATTTCACAACTGATTTAATAAAAGTCTGGGACAAAAGAGGCAAGCTGGAAAGTTATCTTGAACTCTGAAAAGGCTCCAGATTCAAAAATGGAAATCAATATGCTGCAATTGGTTATTGGCTATATTGTTCCGTTACAAGACTCTATATCAGACTAAAATATATATTTTATGTATTTAAAAAATGGTTTCACCAGGGAAAATATTTTTGGTTTTCCTTTACATTTTCACTATGTCCTGGAGATTGTATACAGTCAATATACACATAACTTGAAGGTTATTTACTAAAGTGGGAATTCAAAATGAATTAATAGTGAATGTAATGTTTTAGTGAATTTAATGTTTTACGTAGATGAACCGGAAGCATAACTGACTTAGAGCATTTTTCCAGTTCAGCAATTTTCCCCTTTAAATTTGAAATTCACTTGAAATTTTCACATTAGTGAGTAACCCTTTAGTGAATAACCCTGTAAAAAAAAAAATGAAACTTTTTATTCTTGCCAGGTTACCGAATCAATAATACAAAATGTGAAGCCTTACTTAATGTATCACACAGTTAAAGGGACACTCCACTTCCCAAAAACAAAGTAAATGAACATCACTGTTTAGTAGATGCATCCCAAATGAAAACATACATGCATTTAATTATGTATTTTATCATTGGGAGTATATATAAGAGCAGCTGCAGTTCTGCCTTTGCAAACCCTCCCTTTTTAACCCTGCCCAGACTCTTGTGGCTGTCCAATCACAGACTTCCCAGAACTTGTGGCAATAATGGCAACTGATAGTGTAGATTTAGTCGCTGTTACTGAGACATGGTATAATAAGAATTGTATCCCAGTTTGCCTTGTTTATAGTTTAAAAGGACATAGCAATACCAGGGTACTCGTTATATAGAAAAGATAGGGAAGGCAAGAAAGGGGGAGGGGTGGCCCTGCATGTGAATAATAGCATAAAATCTAGCCTAATAAAAGTTGGTGAGACAAACATAGAGTCCGTTTAGGTTACGTTAGAATTTGGTAATCACACAGTAACTCGTGTCGGTGTGATTTATAGGCCCCCAGGACAAATTGAAGAGTTAAATAATCTACTAGTTGAGGAAATAGCTAAAATGACAATGAAGGGGGAAGTTATCATCATGGGTGACTTTAATCTTCCTGATGTAAATTGGAAAACAAAATTAGCTACTTGTGCCAGGAGCACACATATTCTAATCTCACTACTGGGATTGTCTCTAAAACAAGTTGTTGAAGAGCCAACTCGTAAAGAGGCCATATTTGATTTAGTTTTAACAAATGGAGATTTGGTATCAGATATTACTGTAGGTGAAAGTTTAGGATCCAGTGATCATCAGTTAGTGTGGTTTAATATAAGAACAGTGACTGAGTCACACCACACAAAAACAAAAGTTTTAGACTTTAGAAAAACAGACTTTTCTAAAATTAGAATATGTGTAGAGGAGTCATTATCAGACTGGAGCAATTTAAATGGAGTCCAGGAGAAATGGGATTATTTAAAAGTTGCACTATTGAAGGCAACAGAAAATTGCATTAGGCTTGTCAGTAAAATTAAAAAAAATAAAGAAACCACTGTGGTACTCCGCAGATGTGGCCAAAATAGTTAAAAACAAAAAGTTAGCATTTAGGAATTATAAAAAAACCCAGAGTGAGGAAGACAAAATGATCTATAAGATTAGGCAGAAAGAGGCTAAACAAGTTATAAGAGCTTCCAAATCACACACAGAAGAGAAAATAGCACAGTCAGTAAGAAAGGGGGACAAAACATTTTTTAGATACATAAATGAGAAAAGAAAAGTAAAACAAGGATTAGTTAGATTAAAAACAAAAGAAGGAAGGTCTAGCTAACTGCCTCAATGAATATTATAGTTCTGTATTTACAGATGAAAATTAAGGAAAAGGACCTCAGTTGAGAAAAAGGATAAATGAGTCATTTATTACACGTGAGTTTACAGAGGAAGAGGTTCTATTTCAACTGTCAAAATTAAAGACAAATAAGTCAATGGGACCTGATGGAATACACCCAAAGCTATTAAAAGAGCTTAGTGGTGTACTGGCAAAACCATTAACAGATTTATTTAACCAATCATTGTTAACAGGAGTAGTCCCAGAAGATTGGAAGTGAGCGAATGTTGTGCCCATTTACAAGAAAGGTAAAAGGGAGGAGTCGGGCAACTAGAGGCCAGTAAGCCTTACTTCAGTAGTGGGGAAAGTGATGGAAACCATGTTAAAGGATAGGATTGTTGAACATCTAAAAACACATGGCTTTCAAGATCAGAGACAACATGGATTTACTTCAGGGAGATCATGCCAAACTAATCTTATTGATTTTTTTGATTGGGTAACTAAAATTATAGATCAGGGTGGTGCAGTAGACATTGCTTACCTAGATTTCAGTAAGGCTTTTGACACTGTTGCACATAGAAGGCTTATCAATAAACTGCAATCTTTAAGTTTGGATTCCAATATTGTTGAATGGGTAAGGCAGTGGCTGAGTGACAGGCAACAGAGGGTTGTAGTTAATGGAATATATTCGAAGCTTGGACTTGTCACCAGTGGGGTACCTCAGGGATCTGTACTTGGACCCATTCTCTTTAATATTTTTATTAGTGATATTGCAGAAGGTCTTGATGGTAAGGTATGTCTTTTTGCTGATGATACTAAGATATGTAACAGGGTTGATGTTCCAGGAGGGATAAGCCAAATGACAAATGATTTAGGTAAACTAGAAAAATGGTCAGGCAACTGACATTTAATGTGGATAAGTGCAAGATAATGCATCTTGGACGTAAAAACCCAAGGGCAGAGTACAAAATATTTGATAGAGTCCTAACCTCAACAATTGAGGAAAGGGATTTAGGGGTGATTATTTCTGATGACTTAAAGGTAGGCAGACAATGTAATAGAGCAGCAGGAAATGCTAGCAGGATGCTTGGTTGTATGGGGAGAGGTATTAGCAGTAGAAAGAGGGAACTGCTCATGCCATTGTACAGAACACTGGTGAGACCTCACTTGGAGTATTTTACACAGTACTGTAGACTGTATCTTCAGAAGGATATTGATACCTTAGAGAGGGTTCAGAGAAGGGCTACTAAACTGGTTCATGGATTGTGGGATAAAACTTACCAGGAAAGGTTAAAGGATCTTAACATGTATAGCTTGGAGGAAAGACGAGACAGGGGGGATATGATAGAAACATTTAAATATATAAAGGGAATCAACACAGTAAAGGAGGAGACTATATTTAAAAGAAGAAAAACTACCACAACAAGAGGACATAGTCTTAAATTAGAGGGACAAAGGTTTAAAAATAATATCAGGAAGTATTACTTTACTGAGAGGGTAGTGGATGCATGGAATAGCCTTCCAGCTGAAGTGGTAGAGGTTAACACAGTAAAGGAGTTTAAGCATGCATGGGATAGGCATAAGGCTATCCAAACTATAAGATAAGGCCAGGGACTAATGAAAGTATTTAGAAAATTGGGCAGACTAGATGGTCCGAATGGTTCTTATCTGCCGACTGCCGTCACATTTTATGTTTCTATGTTTCCCAATGCAGCTCAATGAGAAGTCATTGTAAGTCATGTGCGCTGGGCAATTGCTGCCTCTTGAGCTTAGCGCCATTGAGCTAAACAAACCAGGAAGTAACAGGACCTGTTTTCTGCTTGAGGTGTAACAGGGTGTAACCAGGCTAACTTATAAATATGTCTTTTGAAATCTGCACTTTTTGCAAAAGGAAAAAAATAGGACACATTCTTCACACATAAAGCTTCTCAGAAAGCTAGAGTGTTTTAGGGGTCCAAAGTGTCCATTTTAGGTAATCATCTTTTAATGTTATGTATCCATCTTGATATAGATTGCTGGACCAACCAGTTAATATTATATGTCATCTTCCAATAACCAAGCATAATTCTGCCCCTCCCCCACCTGTTAA